TAAAATTGTAAAAGAATAGGGCTGGAGAGATGGTTCTGACATTAAAGGCTAGGCTAATGACCAACATGTCAAAACTGTAAAATATTCTTTCTTAAAGAGTAGTTTAACTTTAAACTATAAAGAGATTTTAAGTTTATAAAGAAAACAAAAAATTAAAATTCTCATTTGCAGGATTATTTTAAATTAGTTTATAAAATGCAGAACAAAAATTTTTAAATAATTCATTTATTCTTATTTTATGTACATTGGTATTTTGCCTAACATTATTTAACTTCAATCTATAAAAAAGCACTAAGCTAATTTTACTATTTTTGTAGTAAAGACACACATAAAATGTTTGTTATTGATTTTAAAAGTCCATAGTAATAGTCATGTGGTTACACCCCAAACCACATCTTTGATACAATTCAAAGATTATTTCTTGAGATAGCTGATCAAATTAACAGTGAGTTTAGTCCCAGAACCCACATGATGGAAGGAAAGAAAGCTACACACACACACACACACACACACACACACACACACACACACACACACACACCCCACATCTAAATAAATAATAAATAAAAGAGCTTTTTCAAAAATGCTTTACTGTGGATTACTAAAAAAGCCCTGTAGGAACACTATTTCAACCACAACAGCAACAGAAAGAAATTATAATTTTAAGGGATATGTTTTGTCATATGAGCTTTGTGTAACACAAAGGAAGAGAATATCTTACCAGTCTCTCATTAAGGGACCTAATAGCAACAAATACTTGATTATGTCCAACAGTCTTCTATATCTCTTCCTTCCTTAGGTTTATGCATATTTGAACTCTGTCTAATCCCCACCTCAAATTAGCCAAACCCTGAACCACCCAGTATTGCCAGAATTAGTAAAAGGAATTGTCCCTACGTTTTCAGTAGATAACTGTAAAAAAAAAAAAAAAAAAAAAAAAAAAAGCAGTTTAAGATGCTTCGATTATCATTGCAGAGGCAACAAAATTTGCTCATGGCATCTTCCAGTTTAAAGTTTCCCATACATAGCTCATACTGTATTTGTATGTTGCTTTCTTCTTTTACTTTTGAGACAACATACTAATAAATGGTTTAGGCTGGTTTTGAATTCCCAATCCTCCCATCCCCAGTAGGTGGGAATACAGACAGACTACCATAACAAGTACTGTACTTGTCAAGGCTTATGTTCTCAAAACCAACAGTAGGAAAAAGAATTTTGGATTTCGACTTTCAAAATCCAGACAACAGGGATAAGCTATGGGTAGCTAGTTCTAGAACTAATCCCTCTTGAGGGATGTACAGTGGTACATCAGCAACCCTGTCATTCTTCTAAATAGCAACAGTAGTTAAAGCAAAACGAAATACCTTAAATGCTTCTTGAAACCCAAAAAGAGATACTGAAGAGCATTGCAGGCAAGGAGATGAGGCACTGAGGCTTATAATTCAGGCCTTCAGTATATCACAATATACTTTGTAATCCTAGGACCCTCCATCTTTCTTGTAATATGCTTCCTAATCTTGTGTGTAGAGCTCAACTCAGAGCAAGATACACTGCCATCAAGTTGGCTGGTCCCAAGAGAATAGTAGTGCTGTGGCAGCCAAGGATGCCTTGGCACAGACTTGCTCAAATGACACAGGCAGCAGCACTGGTTCTTCTCTTTCTATCCTGACTGTTACTATAGCTCCTTTTGCTAAATCTGCCTCTGAGTTTAGACAGGAGCTGGATGGCTCATAATCACCCAGCAGCTGCAGCTGAGCAATACTCAGCTAATTGTGGCACTGGAGCAGCTGAGACAGAAAAAAGAAAATATATACCCTACGGTAGCCATACACAAATGGCTGTACACGGTACTGGTTACGACACCAAGATACTTATATAGGAACAAAGTATTTCCTTTAGATAAGCAGCTGGACCTTACTAGAGGACTTGTATTTATATCATAAACCAGTTTAAATGTGAAACAAAGGTGACCTAGTCATGTAGCCCTCTGAACAATGGAAGATCTTACTAAAACTTCCTGTAAATATTCACAAAAGGCCAGAGTAACAAACATCACCTTTACAACATGTCAAAGTTCCTGTGACATAAGAATTTGGCAGAGTTGCAATCTCTTCTTCAGTGCTCCGTTACAACAATATGAAACAACAAAATCAACAGCTAAAACAGCAAACCATTACACAGAATAAATAAAGCAGCATCAAGCAACAACTCTGCCTCTCTGAAACACCAGTCACTGCTTTCTTCTGCAACAAAAGTATATTGTTCCTTCTGACTCTACATACTTCATAAAGTGTAAATAAAGAAAAAAATACTACATAATAAGAATCGTGAGAATATCAAAACTAACACTGAAATATTTTAGTTAAAGCATTACTGTTGGGGGGGACTGAATGAAAGTCAAGACTTACTATTTCAACTTTGTCATGGTACCCTAATTATTCAAAAGTAGGTACTTGATAACAGAACAACACCCATCCATTCAATAAACACTTTGATTATTACTTATTACTTTAATTTAACATTAGAAAAGCACAATGCCTTCTCTCAAAATATTAAAATAGCATTAACAAAACCCCAGAACTCTATGAGAAATACTTTTTTCAATATCCTCTCATTATTGTACATTTCCAAGTGTGTAGTATTTTCAAGGCAGTTAGTTATATACACAAGCTAGTATATGACAGTTATGATGCAGGAAATCTAAACCTGTTAGTAAAGGAGAGCCAAAGGAGTGTTCTAAAGTCAGTCACCAATGATTAAAGTTTTTAACAAAGAGGGGAAAGATTCAAGGATGTTGACCGGAAACCAAGGTATACCAAAAGTTAAATTATTAATTTAACCCACACTACATCTATACTGCATTACACTTAGGCTTCTTAAAAATATTTTCATATAAAACATAAAACCCAGGTACAAATGTATGACTTGCTGAATTATATTAAGAACACCTCCATGATCCCAAAGTTAAAAAAAAACTTTCCTAATACTTCAGAAGTAGCTTATCACAGCTGCCTCCCTTCCTCCCAATCTTTGTTTTTAAGCAAATTACTTCCTTGTAGTTCTTTTTAAATAATAGTTTTATCACTAAGTTTACATTTCTAGACATCAGCTTTTATCGATGCTCTTCAAAATAAAAAAAAAAAAATCTACTTAGGCTTCTTTCCTAAATAATGGTAAAAGGAACTAAATATATTTTAAAGAAAAATCACCCATAGTAACAAGCTATTTACTACTAGAACTAAGAAAATTTGAACTACAAATAAACAAGGATTAGTAAAATTTCACTTGTCCTGGATCACTGATCTTTCAATGTGTTCTTTTACTTCTAAACACAATGATGTAGAATTTTATTTGCATAGACAATGATGTTTTTGGAGAATTTCCTCAATTAATAACAAATTTTTGACTACATATTAATACTATCCTTTGACCATAAGACAAATTCTATACCTCTCCCAGGAAGACAGGTCAGGGCTATAATTTCACTTTCAGTTAAAAGAAAGAAGTCAATTTTGTGGTTTGTGAAGTCAGCAAAAACTAGCTGCAAAATTAAAGCTATGATAACATTACCGTGGTTATGGCAAAGTACATTATTTTAAAAGCCCTTCTATCTTTTATACTGGAAACTTGGAATCAAACGGTCTTATATTCAGGTTTCGATCAAAGGCAATCCTTTTTTTTTTTTTTTTTTCCTTCAAATTTAGGTCCCTCTGAAAGGTCAACCAGTATCTAAATTCTTCACTGAGGTTTTGCTGGTATCCAAAAAATATGATAAGGTAAATGTTGACATGGCAAGAAGAAGAAAACAAATTCCTAGCGAACAACTTTCCTACAGTTTGTGTTCTCTCCTATGTGATGCATATAAGAGCTTTGGCTTTTAATTTAACATCCCTTATCTGTTTCCTATCCACAACCATTGTGCTTGTTAATATATTTGATATGTACTTTAAATTAAATTCATATAGTCACATACTCACACTTAGTAATATTTTAAATTTAGAAATTTAACAGGATGTCTAAATATACTTTCAATTGTCAAGATACTTTTGGTACAGTAATTTCACACGATAATGCACGAATATACTACACCACTGTATCCTGTGAAAACAAAGCTCGGGACACACATAATAAACGACAAAACTGCAAAGTTGTGGCTGTACTGCAGACTTTTCGTTTATTTACTTCGATAACTTTCATTAATCATCCATGGCTGTTTCAATCACTTATGTCAAAAACAAAAACCCATCAAAACCGCGCTGTGCTCCATTCATTACAGCAGTCCCTATACCAAAAACGATACTCCCACTTTCTTAAAACAACTCTTCCCCATGTCCAATAAAGCAAAAGCTGGGAGCAATTATCAAGAAGAAAAACGCACTCTCAAAACAAAATTTCCATTAACACAGGATAGAGAGCCGAACCCAACAGGAGGCAGAGTGGCATGGCACCTTAAAAGTGGCCGCTGAACATAGCATTTCCCAACACCCTCAACCCCAAACAAAAGAAAACTTTATAAACTCGTCGCGGTTTTCAATCACCACGCACAAACCCCTCCGTCCCCCCCCCCCCACGTCCGGGTCCCGCCTCTGGACAGTTGCTGCGGGCGTCAGGGGACCCGACAAGAAGGGGCCACTCCCCTGCCCCCGCTGGACCTCACTCGAGAATGACCCCACGTCCTTCGGACGCAGGGTCAGCAGCGGCCCCGACGTGGGCTGGACCACTAGGAGGACTCTGGCAGGATCGGGAAGGACTGGACGGGGCGGGGACCGAGGCTGGGGGCAAGCAGGTAGCGCGCCCGCGAGACACGCCCGCCCGCCCGCCGGCCGGACCGGGGGAGGGGAGAAGTTTCTCCACAACTTCCCGACTCCCGGCCCCGCAGGCGGACAGCGGCAGGAGCGGCGGCGCCTCGAGAAGCGGGGGAGCGGGAGGACGGACGCCGGGGCCTAGCGCTGCCCGCCGGGGTCCGCAGCCTGCGTGGTGAGGCCCCGCCACGAGCTTACCTGCCCTCTGGCCGCACTCGCGCGGGTGGCTGCGGGGAGGAGGTGGCGGGCCGAGGCGGACGCCCGCGGGGCCTTCTCCCTTCTCCGCCTCCTGCTCGCCGGGCGCCGGGAGGCAGCGACGACGGCACGGCCGGCCGGGACGCGTTACTTGTGGAGGAGGGAATTGCCGGGCGCCCGCACCCCGCGGCCTCCCTCTCTCCTCCTCTCGCCGCCGGCCCCGCCCCTCCGCTCCCGACGGGGGCGGCCGCGCGCGGGGCGGGGGCTGCGGCTACCTGCGCGCGCCCGCTCACCGGAACTCGCGCCCGGCTGCCCCGCCTGGAGCGCCTTCCGGCGCCGGATCTCGGTGCGGGGTCGGCGGGCGGCTGGGAGGCCAGGCGGTGTCACGCCTGCCAGCCCAACATGGCGGCGGGGGCCAGGCGGGCGCCTGAGGGGGCGTGAGGAGGAAAGCGGCACGGGCCTGCGGCGCCCCGCACTGCCGCGCGCCGACCACCGCGACGGGCGAAGCGGAGCTCGACCCGGCTCTCCGCGCCGAGGGTGTGGGGCTCTGTTGGGGCCCGGGCAGGGTTGAGGTTCTTTGCAGACACTTAATAGACTGTTCGTCTCTCAGCCTTAAGTCTGCACACCCTTTGTCACTGAGAGTAAAATCTCAGTCCAGCCGCGTGAGCCAGCTGGGCGGTGCTGACACCCTGGTCGCGATCCAAAAACGTTCTCGTCTGGCCTCTTTCCGAAGCTGGGATCCTGTCCCTGCCCCAGAAGCTTCCTGTTGACTGTAGGTCGAACCAGCCTTGCCGGGAGGGAAACCGAAGCCGACTTGTGTTGCCAACTCTCCCAGGAATGATGGCTTTCACTCAGCGCGGAACAACATACTTAGTATTTGATCCTAGTAATAGGGAACTCTGACTGTAACTGTGCAACACAGATGTGGAAACTGAGGCCAGGGTTCCCCGAAGTGGAGAAACCTCGATGAAAGGGTTTTTCTCCGATGGCTGTGTATCTTTTTCCTAATGCCTGGTAGAAAAGGAAGGGTTCAGGAGGAACTGGGGTAAAGATGAGAGGCAAGGTCAAGAGACTGATTCTATATGTAGTCCTGCTAAAGGCCTTGTTAGTCTCTAATTTCTCTTCCGTATTTCCTGTTTGATGGAGTTATCTGAAGTATTAATGTGGAACTCATGGCTTCCTTTGTGGTTTTCAGCAAAGTTCAGAATCATCTTAGGGCATATTCTAAATAGCTCTACCAACTGTGTTGGTGGAATTGGGGTCGGGGAATGGGAGGGGAGGGAGGTCAGGGTGCATGTGAGGGGGCAGAGAGGGTAAAAGGGAGGGAGGGAGAGAAGGAAAGGGAACTGGGATCGACATGTAAAATAATAAATTAAATTAAAAAAAAGAAAAAAAGAAATTAGTCTGAGCTAAAAACCTGTTTGTGAAATGCACAAATGAAGAATATCAGCCCATGTTTCCCTCTTGCACAGTGGTATGGTATGATAAGGACCTATCTTGAAACCTCTGGGAAAGTCAGTCCTAGGGAGGAAGAGGAAGGTCAGGAGAAAGTTTAAACTATATTAAGTATTTCTAAAACTAAGGTTTTTTTAATATTAAAGTTTATTAGTGCTTAAAATTATTTGGCTGGATGTTTGTATTAGAAATTGAGCTGATGCCCAACGGATCTGTGATGCTGCTTGGAAATGTTTTTGTTTAGGTTAAATTTATTCTCTCAACACCCACAGCTAAACACTGAGCTGAACTCCTGGAATCCAGTTGCAGAAAGGGAGGAGTGATGAGCAAAGGTGTCAAGACTAGGCTGGGGAAACCCACAAAGACAGCTGACCTGAACAAGGGGGAGCTAAGGACTCCAGTCTGTGGATTCCATCCTGGCCCTGCATAAATTATGTGGAGGTGCAGGCCTGTAATCTCAAAGCTTGGGAGATAGAAGCAGAGGAGCAGAAGAAGTTCAAGGTTATCCTTTGCTGTGTATTGACCTGGCTGAAAAGGAGAAGCTATGGGGAGAAGAGTGTATCTAAAATTTTCTAAGAATTAGTCCTTTACCAGTAACTGGAATTTAAGTCTGCTCTCTGAATACCTGTACTGCTAATAGAAAGCTTCAACTGGAATTTTTAGTATTATTTTTAATTTGGGGACAGGGATGCACCATGGTGCTTGGGAAGGTGAGACCACAGCTTGTGGAAGTTGATTCCTCTTCCACCATGTGGGTCCCAGGAATTTAATACAGGCTCTCAGGTTTTGTGGGAAACACCTTTACCAATTGAGATAACTGTCTGGCCTTCTAGAATTTGGAGTTTTGAAAATAACTCAAATTATTTTTGATAGTTATGGTAGAATTGAGAGTCTAATAACAAAGTGAGTGTTCAGCAGTATGAGTAACCAGCAGCAACAGTTAGCAAGTGTTGAGATGCCTGCATCTTAGACCATCTCTGTAGCTAGACCTGGATTCCTCACATCTTCCTTGTTTCATGACTGAGCCTGCTTCTCCAGTCTTCCTGTTGATTCTCTGAATTTATTCCAATAAATTCCTTTTCAGCTTAAATTAAGTAGTAAGTCTGTTCTTTGCAAGTAAGGAACCCAAATTAGAACCTAGCTCTTAAGAGATGGAGACAAATGATCAGGAGTTCTAGGCCACCCTCAGCTATATACCGAGTCCTAGGTTCAGCCTGTCTCAAAACAAAAACTCCCAGGAAACAAAACACAATTTGGTATCTGCTGCTTTGTATTTCTGTCAGTCATCTCAGTCCTGTGAGGGCAGGATTTCCTGCTTTCTGTACAGACTAGGAGTGGGGCATTTAAAGGGAGTTTTCAGAGAAAGGGGTATAAAGCAGCCACACAGCAAGAGTAGAGCTTACAGGATCCCCAGACTGTTGTGCTTCTTGCCAGGCAAAAAACTGACACATCAGCCTCTTCTGTACTTGAAATAGCCAAGGCTTTGAGATCATGACATCACTCTACCCATGAGCACTAACTCCAACCTCAGGCTCCTGCTCAGCACAGTTTTGACAGCAGCTACACTAAATTGGAATGTGTTGAAAGCCATTTGATATGCCTGCCTGATAGGCTAGTCATTTCCTCCCATGGCCTGTATTTGCAGTTCCTATACCTGCAGTTCCTAGAATGAGTAGAATTTGTTGAGTGTTGGGTCTGTGCTTTTCTGACACCTGCAGTTGATGTGTAATAATAATTGGCAGTGTTTCTCACTTTAAGTTTAAACTTCATTAAATTGCTACCAGCTTGCTACTTCTGGAGATCTTTACATATGGATTAGGAAACATAGAACCTAACTTTGCTTGAAGACAAGAATTTGAAATTAGAATGTTTACAAGAACTGATAGTTTAGAAAAGAAACCAAATCAGGCTCTACCTTTAAAGTTATATAAATCCAACCATAAAGCATGAAAGATTGATATTAGGGATCTCTTTATAATGTTTTACAAGGTGATGCCAGCTTGGGTTTTAAACTATATTTAGAATGTATACTTTTCAAATATTTTTTTTAATCTCCTTTTTAAAGCTAAACATTTTGTTGCATCTTTAGCTACAAAGATCACTGTCTCATTTGTGCCTGACCAAATTTTAAAACTTGAGTCACCATACCTTAGGATTTGACATAAACTACAATCAATGTCTTTAATCCTTTAACAAATTGTGTTCACTCTCCTTTGAATTGTATGTGAGTTCTTACTAAAAGAAACACATAGTGGTGTTTGTTTTTTAGTCCTAGCAATTAGGAGACAGAAGTCTACCAGGACTACATGGAGAAACTCTGTCTCAGAAAAAGTGAAAACCAAAAAAGAAACACATAGACATTAAATATTTAAAGTGTGACCCATACTTTGGTGAAATGTGTTTTAAGTCATATGAATGAATGTATTGATAGGATCAGCAATGCAGACAGTAAGGTTGATAAAACACCAGCAATAATAATAATAATAAAAGCATTGGCTATCTTATTGAGCCCCACACTATATGCACAGATCTTACCTACAGCCCTCATTGAATCCTCAGAATATCCTTAGAGGTTAGCAGTCTTATTTTCAGTTTGGATCTCTCAAGCTTACAGGGAGGACTTTAACATATCGAGAGGAGCCACTCCGAATTTAAGACTTGTCCATGGAAACTCTGAAGGACAGAAGGACCTGGATAGATATTCTGCCAACACTAAGAGATCATGGATACCAGCCCAGATTACTATATCCAGCAAAGCTTTTAATCACTATTGATGGAGAAACAAAGATATTCCATGACAAAACCAGATTTAAACAATATACATCAACTAATCCAGCCCTACAAAAAGTTCTGGAAGGAAAACTCCAACCCAAGGAAATTAACTATACCCACAAAAACATAGGCAATAGATAATCATACTTCACCAACAGCCAAAAGAAAAATGGGGGAAATACACACACAACACCACCACCAACAGCAAATCCAAAACAAGCAAGAATTAACATTAATATCCCTCAATATTAATGGTCTTAACTCGCCTATAAAAAGACACAGGCTAAAAGAATGGATACGAAAACAGAATCCATCCTTTTGCTGCATACAAGAAACACACCCACTTCAAAGACAGATATCACCTCAGAATTAAGTGTTGGGAAAATACTTTCAAATCAAATGGACCCAAGAAACAAGCAGGTGTAGCAATTCTAATATCTAACAAATTAGACTTTAAACTAAAATCAATCACAAGAGATGAAGAAGGTCATTTCTTATTTATCACAGGAGTAATCCATCAAGATGAAGCCTCAATTCTGAACATCTATGCCCCCCAAACAAAGGCACCTGCATTCGTAAAAGAAATATCACTAAAACTCAAATCTCACATAAAACCTCAAACGCTTAAAGTGGGAGATTTCAACATCCTATTCTCAACACTAGACAGGTCCACCAGACAGACGCTTAACAAAGAAACAAAGGAACTAACAAGTTATGACCCAATTGGGATTAATGGACATTTATAGAACATTTCATACAAACACAAAAGAATATACCTTTTTCTCAGCACCACATGGAACCTTCTCTAAAATCGAACACACACTCAGCAATATACTAA